TTTTTAGGTTACCCTGCCTCGGTAGGGTACGGCCGGGTCGTTGAATATATATGTTTGAGTGTGTGTGTCTGTGTGTGTGTACTCACCTAACTGTGGTTGCAGGGGTCGAGACTCAGCTCCTGGCCCCGCTTCTTCACCGACTGCTACTAGGTCCTCTCTCCCCCTGCTCCATGAGCTTTATCATACCTCGTCTTAAAACTATGTATAGTTCCTGCCTCCACTACATCACTTGCCAGACTATTCCACTTCCTAACTACTTTATGACTGAAGAAATACTTCCTAACATCTCTTTGACTCATCTGAGTCTTCAGCTTCCAATTGTGACCCCTTGTTTCCGTGTCCCATCCCTGGAACATCCTGTCTCTGTCCACTTTGTCTATTCCACGCAGTATTTTGTATGTCGTTATCATGTCTCCCATGACCCTCCTGTCCTTCAGTGTTGTCAGACCGATTTCTCTTAACCTTTCTTCATAGGACATTCCCCTTAGCTCTGAAACTAGCCTTGTTGCAAACCTTTGCACTTTCTCTAATTTCTTGACGTGTTTGATCAGGTGTGGGTTCCAAGCTGGTGCTGCGTACTCCAGTATGGGCCTGACGTACACAGTATATAAAGTCTTGAGCGATTCCTTACTGAGGTACCAAAACGCTATTCTCAGGTTTGCCAAGCGCCCATATGCCGCAGCAGTTATCTGGTTAATGTGTGCTTCTGGCGATGTGCTCGGTATTATACTCACTCCTAAGTCTTTCTCCTTGAGTGAAGTTTGCAGCCTTTGGCCTCCTAGCCTATACTCTGTCTGCGGTCTTCTTTGCCCTCCTCCGATCTTCATGACTTTGCATTTGGCGGGGTTAAATTCTAGGAGCCAGTTTCTGGACCACACATCCAGTCTGTCCAGGTCTCTTTGTAGACCTGTCTGGTCCGCGTCTGATTTAATTCTCCTCATTAACTTCACGTCATCTGCAAACAGGGACACTTCTGAATCTATCCCTTCCGTCATGTCGTTCACATATACCAAGAATAGCACTGGTCCCATGACTGACCCCTGTGGGACCCCGCTCGTCACTGGCGCCCACTGTGATACCTCATCACGAACCATGATTCGCTGTTGCCTCCCTGTTAGGTAATCTCTGATCAATTACAGTGCCCTTCCTGTTATATGTGCTTATTCCTCTAGCTTCTGTACTAATCTCTTGTGAGGAACTGTGTCGAAGGCCTTCTTGCAGTCCAAGAAAATGCAATCAACCCACCCCTCCCTCTCATTTCTTACTTCAGTTACCATGTCATAAAACTCGAGTAGGTTTGTGACACAGGATTTGCCTTCCATGGATCCGTGCTGGCTGTCGTTTATAATCTTGTTCCGCTCCAGGTGCTCCACCACTCTCCTCCTGATAATCTTTTCCAAGACTTTGCATACTATGCATGTCAGTGACACGGGTCTATAATTTAGTGCTTCATTTCTGTCTCCTTTCTTAAAGATGGGGACTACATTTGCCTTCTTCCATACTTCAGGTAGTCGCCCAGTTTCAAGGGAAGTGTTGAAGATTTTGGTTAGTGGCACACGTAGTGTCCCTGCTCCCTCTCTAAGGACCCACGGAGAGATGTTGTCCGGTCCCACCGCCTTTGAGGTATCAAGGTCACTTAGAAACTTCTCCACCTCCTCCTCAGTTGTGTGTAATTCATCTAACACTTGTTGGTATATCCCGTGTTGCTGTACCCCACTGTTTTGTCTTCCCGTTGTCCCTTTAGCTTCCACTGTAAATACTTCATGAAATCTCATGTTGAGCTCCTCACATAACTCCTGGTCGTTTCTTGTGAGCTCCCCACCTTCTTTCCTCAGCCTGATTGTGTGTGTGTGTGTGTGTGTTTAGAATTCGCAGAACAGGCGAAATATTCACAAACACTAATCTCAGGTCGAAGGAGACTCGAACTTACGAACCTTGGGACAAGGTATGCAGTGCTCTACAACCGTACCACATTGGTCCAATACCTTGGTGCCCAGCCAACGCTAGGCGTGAGTAAAGCACTGCGTACCTTGTTCCAAGGTTCGTAGGTTCGAGTCTCCTTCGACCTGAGATTAGTGTTTGTGAATATTTCACCTGTTCTGCTAATTCTAAACATTGTAAAAATCTCTCGTCTGTCGATGCATGCTGGGGACGAGATGAAATAGCTACCACCACCTGCCTGAATGCTGGCTGCCTTGGATCAAAATGTCTAGCATTGGCTGGGCGCCAAGGTATTGGACCAGTGTGGTAGGGTGAGTAGAGCACTGTGTACCTTGTTCCACCCACCCAACCCACCCACAGAACCCACCCACCCAACCCACCCACAGAACCCACCCAACCCACCCACAGAAAGTACCCACCCAACCCACCCACAGAACCCACCCAACCCACCCACAGAACCCACCCACACAACCCACCCACAGAACCCACCACAGAACCCACCCACCAAACCCACCCACCCAACCCACCCACAGAACCCACCCAACCCACCCACAGAACCAACCCAACCCACCCAGAGAACCCATCCAACCCACCCACAGAACCCCCCAACCCACCCACAAACCAACCCACCCACAGAATCCACCCAACCCACCCACTAAACCCACCAAACCCACCCACAGAACCCACCCAACCCACCCACAGAACCCACCCAACCCACCAACAGAACCCACCCAACCCACCCACAAAACCCACCCAACCCACCCACAGAACCCACCCAACCCACGCACAGAACCCACCCAACCTACCCAACCCACCCACATAACCCACCCAATCCACCCACAGAACACACCCAACCCACCCACAGAACCCACCCAACCCACCCACAGAACCCACCCAACCGACCCACAGAACCCACCCAGCCCACCCACAGAACCCACCCAACCGACCCACAGAAACCCACCCAACCACCCACAGAACTCACCCAATCCACACGCAGAACCCACCCAACCCACCCACAGAACCCACCCAATCCACCCACAGAACCCATCCAGCCCACCCACAAAACCCACCCAACCCACCCACAGAACCCACCCTCAGAACCCACCTAACCCACCCACAGAACCCACCCAACCCACCCACAAAACCCACCCAACCCACCCACAGAATCCACGGAACCCACCCACAGAACCCGCCCAACCCGCCCACAGAACCCACCCAACCCACCCACGGAACTCACCCAATCCACACACAGAACCCACCCAACCGACCCACAGAACGCACCCACAGAACCCATCCAGCCCACCCACAGAACCCATCCAACCCACCCAGAGAACCCACCAACCCACCCACAGAACCCACCCACCCAATCCACCCACAAAACCCACCCACAGAACCCACCCAACCCACCCACAAAACCCACCCACAGAACCCACCCAACCCACCCACAAAACTCACAGAACCCACCCAACCCACCCACAAAACCCACCCAACCCACCCACAAAACCCACCCACAGAGCCCAACCAACCCACCCACGAAACCTACCCAACCCACCCACAGAACCCACCCAACCCACCCACAGAAGCCACCAACCCACTCACAGAACCCACCCACAGAACCCACCCAACCGACATACAACCCACCCAGCCCACCAACAGAACCCACCCAACCGACCCACAGAACCCACCCAACCCACCCACAGAACTCACCCAATCCACACACAGAACCCACCCAACACAAGCCTATCTGATGTTATCCTGACGCCAAATGACTTCGAACAGGCGATAAATGACATGCCCATGCACTCTGCCCCAGGACCAGACTCATGGAACTCTGTGTTCATAAAGAACTGCAAGAAGCCCCTATCACGAGCCTTTACCATCCTATGGAGAGGGAGCATGGACACGGGGGTCGTCCCACAGTTACTAAAAACAAAAGACATAACCCCACTCCACAAAGGGGGCAGTAAAGCAACAGCAAAGAACTACAGACCGATAGCACTAACATCCCATATCATAAAAATCTTTGAAAGAGTCCTAAGAAGCAAGGTCACCACCCATCTAGAAACCAATCAGTTACACAACCCAGGGCAACATGGGTTTAGAACAGGTCGCTCCTGTCTGTCTCAACTATTGGATCACTACGACAAGGTCCTAGATGCACTAAAAGACAAAAAGAATGCAGATGTAATATATACAGACTTTGCAAAAGCCTTCGACAAGTGTGACCATGGCGTAATAGCGCACAAAATGCGTGCTAAAGGAATAACAGGAAAAGTCGGTCGATGGATCTATAATTTCCTCACTAACAGAACACAGAGAGTAGTAGTCAACAGAGTAAAGTCCGAGGCAGCTACGGTGAAAAGCTCTGTTCCACAAGCACAGTACTCGCTCCCATCTTGTTCCTCATCCTCATATCTGACATAGACAAGGATGTCAGCCACAGCACCGTGTCTTCCTTTGCAGATGACACCCGAATCTGCATGACAGTGTCTTCCATTGCAGACACTGCAAGGCTCCAGGCGGACATCAACCAAATCTTTCAGTGGGCTGCAGAAAACAATATGAAGTTCAACGATGAGAAATTTCAATTACTCAGATATGGTAAACACGAGGAAATTAAATCTTCATCAGAGTACAAAACAAATTCTGGCCACAAAATAGAGCGAAACACCAACGTCAAAGACCTGGGAGTGATCATGTCGGAGGATCTCCTTCAAGGACCATAACATTGTATCGATTGCATCTGCTAGAAAAATGACAGGATGGATAATGAGAATCTTCAAAACGAGGGATGCCAAGCCCATGATGACACTCTTCAGGTCACTTGTTCTATCTAGGCTGGAATATTGCTGCACACTAACAGCACCTTTCAAGGCAGGTGAAATTGCTGACCTAGAAAATGTGCAGAGAACCTTCACGGCGCGCATAACGGAGATAAAACACCTCAATTACTGGGAGCGCTTGAGGTTCCTGAACCTGTATTCCCTGGAACGCAGGCGGGAGAGATACATGATTATATACAAATGGAAAATCCTAGAGGGACTAGTACCGAACTTGCACACGAAAATCACTCACTACGAAAGCAAAAGACTTGGCAGACGATGCAACATCCCCCCAATGAAAAGCAGGGGTGTCACTAGCACGTTAAGAGACCATACAGTAAGTGTCAGGGGCCCGAGACTGTTCAACTGCCTCCAAGCATACATAAGGGGGGGATTACCAACAGACCCCTGGCAGTCTTCAAGCTGGCACTGGACAAGCACCTAAAGTCGGTTCCTGATCAGCCGGGCTGTGGCTCGTACGTTGGTTTGTGTGCAGCCAGCAGTAACAGCCTGGTTGATCAGGCTCTGATCCACCAGGAGGCCTGGTCACAGACCGGACCGCGGGGGCGTTGACCCCCGGAACTCTCTCAAGGTAAACTCCAGGTAAACCCACCCAGAGAACCCACCCAACCCACCCACAGAACCCATCCAGCCCACCCACAAAACCCACCCAACTCACCCACAGAACCCACCCACAGAACCAACCCAACCCACCCACAGAACCCACCCAATCCACCCACAGAGCCAACCCAACCCACCCACAAACCCACCCAACCCACTCACAGAACCCACCCAACCCACCCACAGAATCCACCCAACCCACCCACAGAACCCACCCAACCCACCCACAGAACCCACCCAACCCACCCACGGAACTCACCCAACCGACCCACAGAACCCATCCAGCCCACCCACAGAACCCACCCAACCGACCCACAGAACCCACCCACAGAACCCATTCAGCCCACCCACAGAACCCACCCAGAGAACCCATCCAACCCACCCACAGAACCCAACCAACCCACGCACAGAACCCACCCACACAACCCACCCACAAAACCCACCCACAGAACCCACCCAACCCACCCACAAAACCCACCCAACCCACCCACAAAACCCACCCAACCCACCCACAGAATCCACCCAACCCACTCACAAAACCCACCCAACCCACCCACAGAACCCACCCCAACCCACTCACAGAACCCACCCAACCCACCCACAGAATCCACCCAACCCACCCACAGAACCCACCCAACCCACCCACAGAACCCACCCAACCCACCCACGGAACTCACCCAACCGACCCACAGAACCCACCCAGCCCACCCACAGAACCCACCCAACCGAGCCACAGAACCCACCCACAGAACCCATTCAGCCCACCCACAGAACCCACCCAGAGAACCCATCTAACCCACCCACAGAACCCAACCAACCCACGCACAGAACCCCACCCACACAACCCACCCACAAAACCCACCCACAGAACCCACCCAACCCACCCACAGGACCCACCCAACCCACCCACAGAACCCCCCAACCCACCCACAAAACCCACCCAACCCACCCACAGAATCCACCCAACCCACTCACAAAACCCACCAAACCCACCCACAGAACCCACCCAACCCACCCACAGAACCCACCCAACCCACCCACAGAACCCACCCACAGAACCCACCCAACCCACCCACAGAACCCACCCACAACCCACCCCACACAAACCCAACCCCCAACCCACCCAACCAAAACCCACCAAACCCACCCACAGAACCCAACCAACCCACCCACAGAACCCATCCAACCCACCCACGGAAACCACCCACAGAACCACCCAACCCACCCACAAAACCCACCCAACCCACCCACAGAACTCACCCAACCCACCCACGAGAACCCACCCACAAAAACCCACCCAAACCGACCCAACAGAAACCCACCCAGCCCACCCACAGAACCCACCCAACCGACCCACAGAACCCACCAACCAATCCACAGAACTCACCCAATCCACACAACAGAACCCACCCAACCCACCCACAGAACCCATCCAGCCCACCCACAAAACCCACCCAACCCACCCACAGAACCCACCCACAGAACCAACCCAACCCACCCACAGAACCAACCCAACCCACCCACAGAACCCACCCAACCCTCCACAGAACCCACCCACAAAACCCACCCAACCCACCCACACAACCCCACCCGCAGAACCCACCCAACCCACCCACAGAACCACCCAACCGACCAACAGAACCCACCCAGCCCACCCACAGAACCCACCCAACCGACCACAGAACCCACCCAACCAATCCACAGAACTCACCCAATCCACACACAGAACCCACCCAACCCACCCACAGAACCCACCCAAAACCCACCCACAGAACCCAAACCCAACCCAATCCCACAGAACCCACCCACAAAACCCACCCAACCCCACCCACAGAACCCGCCCGCAGAACCACCCAACCCTCCCACAGAACCCACCCACAAAACCCACCCAACCCACCCACAGAACCCACCCAACCCACCCACAAAACCCACCCAACCCACACCCAGAACCACCCAACCCACCCACAGAACCCACCCAACTCACCCACAGAACCCACCCACAGAACCCACCCAACCCACCCACAGAGCCCACCCATAGAACCCACCCAACCCACCTACAGAACCCACCCAACCCACTCACAGAACCCACCTAACCCACCCAACCCACCCACAGAACCCACCCACAGAACCAACCCAACCCACCCACAGAACCCACCCACCCACTCACAGAACCCACCCAGCCCACCCACAGAACCCACCCAACCAACCCACAGAACCCACCCAAACCACCCAAACTCACCCAAACACACAAACCCACCAACCCACCCACAAAACCCACCCAACCCACCCACAGAACCCACCCACAGAACCCACCCAACCCACCCATAGAACCAACCCAACCCACCCACAGAACCCACCCAATCCGCACACAGAACCCACCCAACCCACCCACAGAACCCACCCAAACCCACCCACAGAACCCACCAACCCACCCACAGAAACCACCCAACCCACCCACAGAATCCATCCAACCCACCCACAGAACCCACCCAACCGACCCACAGAACCCACCCAACCGACCCACAGAACCCATCCAGCCCACCCACAGAACCCACCCAACCCACCCACAAAACCCACCCACAGAACCCACCCACAGAAACCCACCCACCCTCCCGCAGAACACCCACCCAACCCACCCACAGAACCCACCCAACCCACCCACAGAACCCACCCAAACCCACCCCAGAACCCACCCAACCCACCCACGACCCACCACAACCCACCTCAAGAACCCCACCCAACCCACCCATCCCACCCACAGAACCCACCCAAACCCACCCACAAGAACCCACCCAACCCACCCACAGAACCCACTCAACCCACCCACAGAACCCATCCACCCACCCACAGAACCCACCCAACCCACCCACCCACAGAACCCACCCCAACCCACCCACAGAGCCCACCCAACCCACCCACAGAACCCACCCAGCCTACCCACAGAACCGACGAAACAAACCCACCCAACCCACATTAAATCCACGACTAGTGTGGGTGTTTCACTGACCCACATTTACCTGCAGAGTGTCGACGACCCAACATACAGAGAACGAACTCTGGTGCCTAGCTGACGACGCAGGAACTAATCTTCCGCAGCTTACTGGAGAGCTTCCGTAAGTTAAAGCTTTCACAGCTTACTGAAGAGCTTCCTCAAGCTAGAGCTTTCACAGCTTACTGGAGAGCTTCCATAAGCTGAAGGTTCCACAGCTTACTGAAGAGCTTCCATAAGCTAAAGCTTTCACAGCTTACCGAAAAGCTTCCACATCTTGTTGAACAGGTTCCATAAGCTAAAGCTTTCACAGCTTACTGGAGAGCTTCCATAAGCTAAAGCTTTCACAGCTAACTGAAAAGCCTCCATAAGTTAAAGTTTTCCCAGCTTATTGAAGAGCTTCCATAAGCTAAAGCTTTTACAGCTTACTGGAGAGCTTCCATAAGCTAAAGCTTTCACAGTTTACTTTGGCATTTGATGTGTTGTATGTGTACATTCAAGTAAAAGTCTAGTAGTATGTGAGGTAAAGGTAATAATAATATATTGTATGAGGGAGAAGTAATAGAGACAGACACCCACCTGATACGACCATTGTCTTCTCCGAAGGACGTGTTATTAACGGTAATAACGCGAGTCTTGTCTGGCTTCTTCTTTTCAGATACATGATCACTTGCAGCCTTCCCGAGGAAGAACGGAACTGAAAAAATATTATACCACGGTCATGACACTGAGACTATGATTAATTGTGTTTTCGTGGGAGAGAAGGGGAAAAAAGAATCAGTAAGGACCTATTTGTTTATGAAGCCAACTCATTAATAATGAGTTGTGGAACCAAATGACAACCTGTGGGTCATTAAGCCTCCTACAGCAAGTAATAATCAGTGGCCTTTTTCCACTTCCTTTCCTTCTATATTTCTGTATCTGATTTCACCAACTCCTTTGCTGTTTCCCTTGTTATTTCATGTATCTCCTGGTTTCCTGTTAGCATTTGGGTAAAAATCTTCTTAGCTCTTCCCCTTTCTTCAGTTCCCTCACCTGCCGTTACTATTCCCATCTCATTGCCACTTTCCTTCCCACACTCTGCTCCTTTACCAGCTTCGGCTCCTGCAGTTCCTCCTCCAGGTTCTGTACCTTTACCTCAGCAGCTGCAATTCGTCTCCCCAATACCTTACTGGCAGACACCCTCTCTTTCACTTTGCAAAATTCATTAAAGTTTTTTTCCCCACTCTTGTTGTGTCATGCTCCTGAACCCTGGTAACCCACTTCCTTCTCGGTCAATTCTTCCGGCTTCCATGCCATTTTTATCCTCCCTTTTGGGAACCCATTTCTTCATTCCTGTGACTTCCTGGTAGGATACTCTGGTTTCCCTTTGGGGTTGTTCTCCTCTAACTTTCTGGTTTTAGAATTACAAGCTTTTCAGAATGCCCTTGATTGTGTTTTATGACAACTGTGTATGCTTATGAGTTGGTATAAACCTTGGTAATAAATTACCGACAAGTTGGTTTAGAAAGACACGTAAGCAAACACTATAACATATTTATTAGAAAACGTTTCGGTCCTGGGACCTTGATCACTTCTGATCAAGGTCCTAGGACCAAAAACGTTTTCTAATAAATATGTTATAGTTTTTTGCTTACGTGTCTTTCTAAACCATGCTTATGAGTGTGTGTTAGCTACCATTTTGTCCTAGACATGTCGTTTTAGACACTAGACCTGTTGTATATGTGTTTTTCACAACACTTTTGTATATGTGTGTGTGTTGTATATGTGCCTGTTGTATATGTGTGTACTCACCTACTTGTGGTCGCAGGGGTCGAGTCACAGCTCCATGAGCTTTATCATACATCTTCTTAAAGACATGTATGGATCCTGACTCTGCTACATTACTTCCCAGACTATTCCACTTCCTTACAATTCTGTGACTGAAGAAATACTTCCTAACATCCCTGTGATTCATATGAGTCTTCAACTTCCAAAAGTGACCCTTTTGTCGCTGTGTCACATCACTGGAACATCCTGTCTCTGTCCACCTTGTCGATTCCTCTCAGTATTTTATATGTCGTTATCATATCCCCCCTATCGCTCCTGTCTTCCAGTGTCGTCAGGTCGATTTCCTTAACCTCTGCTAGTAGGACATATCCCGTAGCTCCGGGACTATGCTTGTTGCAAACCTTTGCACTTACCCTAGTAGTTTCCTTACGTGCTTGGCTACCTGGAGTTCCAAACTGGTGCTGCATACTTCAATATGGGCCTAACGTACACAGTGTACAGGGTCCTGAACGATTCTTTATTAAGTTGTCGGAATACTGTTCTTAGATTTGCTAGGCACCTGTATACTGCAGCAGTTATTTGGTTGATGCGCACCTCAAGAGATGTTCCCGGTGTTACACTCGTCCCAAAATCCTTTTCCTTGAGTGAGGTATGTAGTCTCTGGCCCACTAGACTGTACTTCGTCTGCGGTCTTCTTTGCCTTTCCTCAATCTTCATGACTTTGTATTTGGTGGGGTTGAACTACAGGAGCCAGTTACTGGACCAGGCCTGCAGCCTGTCCGGATCCCTTTGTTGTTCTGCCTGGTCATCGTGTGTGTGCATGTGTGTGTGTATACTCACCTATTTGTGGTTGCAAGGGTTGAGTCATATCTCCTGGCCCCTCCTCTTTACTGGTCGCTACTAGGTCCTCTCTCTCCCTGCTTCATGAGCTTTTTCAGACCACGTCTTGAAACTATGTATGGTTCCTGCCTCCACTGCCTCACTTGCCAGGCTATTCCACTTCCTGACAACTCTATGACTAAAGAAATACTTCCAAGCATCCTTTTGACTCATCTGAGTCTTCAATTTCCAATTGTGACCCCTTGTTTCTGTGTCCCTCTCTGGAACTTTATGTTTCTGTCCACCTTGTGAATACCTCGCAGTATTTTGTATGTCGTTATCATGTCTCTACTAACCCTCCTGTCCTCTAATGTCGCCAGGCCAATTTCCCTTAACCTTTCTTCGTAGGACATTCGAGTTAGCTCTGGAACTAGTCTTGTTGCAAACCTTTGCACGTTCTCTAATTTCTCGACGTGCCTGACCAGGTGTGGGTTTCAAACTGGTGCTGCATACTCCAGTACAGTATAGGCCTGACGTACATGTACAGAGTCTTGAATGATTCCTTATTGGGGTATCGGAACGCTATTCTCAGGATTGCCTGGCGCCCCTTTGCTGCAACAGTTATAAGAACATAAGAACATATGAAAGAAGGAACACTGCAACAGGCCTACTGGCCTATTCGAGGCAGCTCCAATTCTCCTACCGGCTTAAGCCAATGCCTTAACCTAGTCAGGTCAGGTCACGTTCACTTAAGGAAGGAGCACTGTATCCGATCTACCAGCACAAGCTAGTCAGGTCCAACTCACACCCACCCACACCCAATCATACATTTATCCAACCTATTTTTAAAACTACACAACGTCTTAGCTTCTATGACGGTACTCAGGAGTTTACTCCACTCATCCACAACTCTCTTACCAAACCAGTGCTTTTCTGTATCCTTCCTGAATCTGATTTTTTCCAATTTAAAGCCATTGCTGCGAGTCCTGTCTATGTTAGATATTTTTAGCAAGCTATTTACATCCCCTTTATTAATTCCTGCTTTCTATTTATACACCTCAGTCATGTCCCCCCTAATTCTACGCCTTTCTAGAGAGTGCAGATTCAGGACTCTCAGTCTATCCTCATAGGGAAGATTTCTGATGCATGGGATCAACTTGGTCATCCTCTTCTGTATGTTTCCCAGAGCATTTATATTCATTCTGTAATACGGTGACCAAAACTGTGCAGCATAGTCTAAATGAGACCTAACCAAAGATATATAGAGCTGGAGAACAACCTGACGACTTCTATTATTTATACTTCTTGATATGAAGCCAAGGATTCTGTTAGCTTTATTGCGAACACTAATGCACTGTTTTCTTGGTTTCAGATTACTTCTAACCAGAACTCCTAAATCCTTTTTGCAATCCGTAATATTAAGGTCTACATTATTTAGTTTATATGTAGCATAGTTATTTTCCTGTCCAACATTTATAACTTTGCATTTGTCTATATTAAACTGCATCTGGTTGATGTGCGCCTCTGGAGATGTGCTCGTGCATGTGTGTGTTTGTGTGTGTGTGTGTGTGTGTGTGTGTGTGTGTGTGTGTGTGTGTGTGTGTGTGTGTGTGTGTGTGTGTGTGTGTGTGTGTACTCACCTAATTGTGGTTGCAAGGGTCATTTCATAGCTCCTGGCCCCGCCTCTTCACTATTCGCCACTGGGTCCACTCTCTCCTTGTTACATAAGCTTCATCATACCTCTTCTTAAAGCTATGTACGGTACCTGCCTCAGAACCTCACTTTCCAGACTATTCCACTTCTTGACAACTCTATGGCTGAAGAAATACTTTCTAACATCCCTGCCACTCATCTGAGTTTTCAGCTTCCAATTATGACCCCTTGTTGCTGTGTCTCATCTCTGGAACATCCTGTCTCTGTCCACCTTGTTGATTTCCCTCAGTATTTTATAAGTCGTTATCATGTCCCTCCTGTCCTTCCTCTTCTCCAGTGTCGTCAGGACGAATTCCCCTAACCTCTCATCGTAGAACATGCCCCTTAGCTCCGGTACTAGTCTCGTTGCAAACTTTTGCACTTTCTCTAATTTCTTGACGTGCTTGGCCAGTTGAGGGTTCCAAAGTGGAGCTGCATCCTCCAAAATGGGCCTGATGTACACGGTGTACAGGGTCCGGAACAAATCATTACTGAGATGTCGGTATGCTTTTCTTAGGTTCGCTAGTCGCCAACATGCTGCAGCAGTTATTAGATGTACTCGGTATTATACACGCTCCAAGATCATTTTCCTTGAGTGAGGTTTATACTCTTTGGTAACCTAGACTTTCCTCTGCCTGCGGTTTTCTTTGCCCTTCCCCGATCTTCATGACTTTGCACTTAGTGGGGTTGAAACCCAGAAGAAAGTTGCTGGAACAGGGTGCAGCCTGTCTGGATCCCTCTATAATCCTGCCTTATCCTCCTCCGACTGAGTTCTCCTGGTGGCTAAAGCTCCCGCTTCACACACGGAGGACCCGGGTTCGATTCCCGGCGGGTGGAAACATTTCGACACGTTTCCTTACACCTGTTGTCCTGTTCACCTAGCAGCAAATAGGTACCTGGGTGTTAGTCGACTGGTGTGGGTCGCATCCTGGGGGACAAGATTAAGGACCCCAATGGAAATAAGTTAGACAGTCCTCGATGACGCACTGACTTTCTTGGGTTATCCTGGGTGGCTAACCCTCCGGGGTTAAAAATCCGAACGAAATCTTATCTTATCTTATCTCTTATCTTATCGTCTGCAAACAAGGACACTTCTGAATCTATTCCTTCCGTCATGTCATTCACGTATACCAAAAACAGCACCGGTCCTAGGACTGACCCCTGTGGCACCCCACTCGTCACAGGTACGCACTCTGACACCTCGTCTCGTACCATGATTCGTTGTTGCCTTCCTGTCCGATATTCTTTGATTCACTGCAGCGCCTTTCTTGTTATACCTGAATGATCATCTAGCTTTTGCACTAATCTCTTGTGGAACTGTGTCGAAAGCCTTGTTACAGTCCAAGAAAAAGCAATCTACACATCCCTCTCTTGGCTTACTGCCGTCATCTTGTCGTAAAACTCCAATAGCTTTGTGCACAGGATTCCCTTCCCTAAAACCGTGTTGGATGTCGTGTATCTAGGTGCTCCACCGCCATTCTTCTTATAATCTTCTCCATGACGTTGCAAACTATTGTGTGTGTGTGTGTACTCACCTAATTGTGGTTGCAGGGGTAGAGACTCAGCTCCTGGTCCCGCCTCTTCACCGACTGCTACTAGGTCCTCTCTCGGACTGCTCCATGAGCTTTATCATACCTCGTCTTAAAACTATGTATAGTTCTTGCCTCCACTACATCGCTTGCCAGACTATTCCACTTCCTAACAACTCTATGATTGAAGAAATACTTCCTAACATCCCTTTGACTCATCTGAGTCTTCAGCTTCCAACTGTGACCCCTTGTTTCTGTGTCCCATCTCTGGAACATCCTGTCTTCCACTTTGTCTATTCCACGCAGTATTTTGTATGTCGTTATCATGTCTCCCCCTGACCACTCTGTCCTCCTGTGTTGTCAGACGGATTTCCCTTAACCTTTCTTCATAGGACATTCCCTTTTTGCTCTGGAACTAGCCTTGTGCCAAACCTTTGCACTTTCTCTAATTTCTTGATGTGTTTGACAGGTTGTGGCGTTCAAGTGGTGCTTGCGAGCCTCCAGTATGGGCCTGACGTACACAGTGTATATAGTCTTGAACGATTCCTTGCTTGAGGTACCGGAAACGCTATTTCTCAGGTTTGCCATGCGCATATGCTGCCAGCAGTTATTGGTTAATGTTGTGCTTCTGGCTATGTACTCGGTATTATTATCACTCCTAGGTCTTTCTCTTTGAGTGAGGTTTGCAGCCTTTTGGCCTCCTGCCTATACTCTGTCTGCGGTCTCTTTTGCCTCCTCCGATCTCATGGACTTTGCATTGGCGGGGTTAAAATTCAAGGAGCCAGTTTTCTGGACCGCACATCTGCCTGTCCAGGTCTCTTTGTAGACCTGTTGGTCGCGTCGGATTTAATTCTCCTCTTTAACTTCACGTCATCTGCAAACAGGGGGACACTTATGGTCTATCCCTTCTTCATGTAGTATATACCAAGAATAGCACTTGTCCCATGGACTGACCCCTGTGGACCCCGCTCGTCACTGGCGCCCACTGTGATACCTCATATCATGGACCATGACTCGCTGTTGCCTCCTGTTAGGTATTCTCTGATCCATTGCAGTGCCCTTCCTGTTTATACGTGCTTGTTCCTATAGCTTCTGCACTAATCTCTTTGTGAGGAAGGTTCCTTGATGTTGGTGAGGGGCCTCTTGATTTAGGGAAATGATCTGTGCTTCCAGTTCCCGAATTAAGCCTGAATGCCTTCCACATCCCCCCCCAGGCGCTGTATATCCCTCCGGTTTAGCGCTTCCCCTTGATTTAATAATAATACATATAATCTTGTGTGGAACTGTGTCGAAGGCCTTCTTGCAGTCCAAGAAAATGCATTCGTGTGTGTGTGTGTGTGTGTGTGTGTGTGTGATGTTGTGTGTGTGTGTGTGTGTGTGTGTGTGTGTGTGTACTCCACCTATTTGTATTCACCTATTGTGGTTGCAGGGGTCGATTACAGCTCCTGGCCAGCCTCTTCGCTGATTGCTCTATGTCCTCTCTCTCCTGCCCCATGAGCTTTTTCATACCTCACCTTTAAATATGTTGGTTCCTGCCTCCACCACTCACTTTCTAGGCTATTCCACGGCTGACTATCTATGATGAAGAAATACTTCCTAACATCCCTTTGATTCATCTGTGTCTTCAATTCCAATTGGACCTCTGTGTCGGTGTCCCATCTCTGGAGAAACATCCCGTCTTTGTCCACATTGTCTATTCGCGCAGTATTTTATATGTTGTTATCATGTCCTCACCTGACCTCCTGTTCTCCAATGTCGTCAGGTCGATTTCCCTCCAACAGTTCTTTCGTAGTACAATTCCCGTAGCTCTGGGATAGTCTTGTTGAAAAACTTTTGCACTTTCTCAATTTCTTGACGTTGCTTGACTAGGTTGTGGATTCCAACTGGGCTGCATTAACTCCAGTATGGGCTGACGTAAATGGTTACAGGAGTCTTGAACGATCTTAATGAGGTTATCGAACGCTATCCGTGGTTTGCCAAGCGCATGTATGTGCAGCAGTGAATCTGATTGATGTGCGCCTCAGGAGTATATGGCTCGGTGTTATACTCACCCCAGGATCTTTTTCCTTGAGTGGAGATTTGCAAGTCTTTGGCATCTGAACTATATTTGTGTCTTCTTTGCCCTTCCCCAATTTTATGACTTTGCAGTGCAGGTTTTTAAATTCAAGAGCCAGTTTTGCTGACCAGGCTTTGTAGCTGTCCAGGTCTCTTTGTAGTCCTGCGATCCTAATCCGATTTGATTCTTTCTCATTAAACTTCGGCTTATCTGCGAACTGGACTCTTCTGAGTCTATCCCTTCCGTTAATGGCGTTCATATATACCAAGAACAGCACAGGTCTAGGACTGACCCCTGTGTGGAACCCCGCTTGTCAAGGCGACCCACTATGAAACCGCGTCGCGTACCATGACTCGTTGTTGCCTCCCTGTCAGGTATTCTCTGATCCATTGCAGTGCCGTTCCTGTTATGTGTGCCGCTGATCCTCTAGCTTTTGCAGTAAACCTCTTGTGAGGAACTGTGTCGGAAGGCCATTCTTGCAGTCCTAAATATGCCAGTCGACCCACCCCTCCTCTCTCTCTTGTCTTACTTCTGTCACCTTGTCATAAAACTTTAGTAGGTTTGTGACACAGGATTTTCCTTCCCTGAAACCTGTGGTTGTCAATTATACACTTGTTTTCTGTCCAGGTGCTCCCAGCACTATCCTCTGGACGATCTTCTCCATGACCTTGCATACTATACACGTTTTTGATACAGGTCTGTAGTTTAGTGCCTCATGTCTGTCTCCCTTTTTAAAAATTGGGACTACATTTGCCATTTTCCATACCTCAGGAAGTTGCCCAGTTTCAAATGACGTGTTGAAGATCTTTGTTAATGGCTCACACAATATCTCTGCTCCCTCTTTAAGGACCCACGGAGAGATGTTGTCTGGTCCCACCGCCTTTGAGGTGTCAAGTTCGCATAGCAGCTTCTTCACCTCCTCCTTGGTTATATGTACCTCATCCAGCACTTGCTGGTGACTAGTATGTGTTAGTGTGTATGTTCTAGTATGTGTTAGTGTGTGTGTGTCAGTGTTAGTATTAGTGTTAGTACGTGTTAGTGTTAGTGTTAGTGTGTTAAGGTACTCATACCTCCAGCACTGGTGTCCAGAGTCAGGGTCGCCGCCTCGCTGGGTTTCTCACAATTCTTAACAAAAGCGGTTAACTTGAATCTGTATATAAAAATAAAGGAAAATATTAAAGATAAATGTATAATATTAAGACTCAAATTATGAATTGTTTGGTTAATTGTATTTGGAAAAATTTGTGAAATAAAATTCAATGGCATCACACACACACACTACTCTACACACCACACAACACATATGCACACACTAGGGAGGACAAGGTGAGATACACACAGGTATCACAGTGGGCACCTGTGACGAGCGGGTCCCACAGGGGTCGGTCCAAGGACCAGGTCATTTTCTGGTATATGTGAATGACATGATGGAAGGGTTAGAATCAGGAAGTGTCCTTGTTCGCAGTGATGTGAAGGTTTAATGAGGAGAATTAATCAGATGAGGGACCAGGCAGGACTTCAAAGAGACCTGGACAGGATGACACGTAGGTCCAGCAACTGGCTTCTTGGAATTCAACCCGCAATGAAAAGGTCATGAAGATCGGAGAAGGGCAAAGATGACCGAAGACAGAGTAAGGCTAGGTGGACATCTCCAAAGCAGCAATAGATCCCGGTCTCGCTCAATGGGTGAATAACACGGGACGTCACCGGAGAGCAACATCAACCAGATAAACTGCTGCAGCATACGGGCGTCTGCAACTGAGATTAGCGTTCCGATACCTTAGTAAGGAATCGTTCAAGACACTGTAAACTGTGTACATCAGGCCCATACTGGAGTATGCAGCCACCAGTTTGGTACCCACAACCTGGTCAAACCCCTAAGAAATTAGAGAAAGTACAAAGGTTTGCAACAAGGCTCAGGGGTATGTCCTACGAAGTAAGGTTGAGGGAAATCGGACTGACGACATTGGAGGACAGGCGGGTCAGGGGAGACATGATAACGACATACAAGGATACTGCGGGGAATATAGAAGGTGGACAGAGACAGGATGTTCCGAGAGGGGACACAGAAACCAAGGGGGTCACAGTTGGAAGCTGAAGACTTCAGACGAGTTCACAGGAACGTTAGGAAGTATTTTTTAGTCATAGAGTCTAGAAGAGGAACAGCTAACAAGTGAAGTAGTGGAGGCAGGAACCATACATAGTTTTAAGAAGAGGTATGACAAAGCTCAGGAAGTAGAGAGGGAGGGGACCTAGTAGGTGATCAGTGAAGAGGCGGGGACAGGGAGCTGAGTCTCGACCCTGGATCCACAATTAGTGAGTACATTTGGTGAGTACACACCCAACACACCAATCACTACACACACACACACACACACGCACACACACACAAACTTTGCAGGAGTAAGGATTAAGCAGGAGGATTAAGTCGTGGCTAATGGGACTACAGCCCTGGGACAACAAGTTTCGAGAGATAATGTGTCTAGGGACACAAAGACGTTACAATCTGAGAAGAAGTATGGGACAATGTAGTAAAAGGTATTACCATAACTAGGTGAATGAAGGACTTGTTAACACACGTAGTAGTTTAATTATTAGAAACTACTTTTCAGTGTTAATGGTATCTCTTTAGTATACGGATTACACAGGAAGTGATTGTAATTTCTGGGAATTATAAAACAACTGACCGTGCTCACACACACACCACACGTGCGCACACACATACACACACTCGGGGCCGGAGATGGGTCTCGTCACCTGGAAACCACAATAGGTGATGTACACACAGCTGATCCTTGGAATTTGACCGCCTCCCCCCACAGGACTCTTACCCTTTTCCCCTCCTCGCGTTTCTCCCTCCTCAATACCCTTCTTTTCACACCTCTTTTCTCCCTCTCTCTTTCTCTCCCTCTCCCTCTCTTTCTCCTCTCTCTTACCTTTCTCTCCCCTCAACATTTTCTTCTCTCCCCTATGGTCTTATTCCCTCACCCCCATACTCTCTCCTCCTCTCCCTCTTTCTACCCTTTCTCTCTCCTCTCTCTCCTCCGTTCTACCCTTTCTCTCTCCTCTCTCTCCTCTTTCTACCTTTCTCTCTCTCCCCCACTCCCTCTTCCCTCTATACCATGTAGTAACAAGGTTAGTACATAAACTGGGTGAAAGAATGACTTGTTATACACAGGCTATATTATAATTAGAACTACCTCTCGTGTTAGGGGTTATCTCATTAGATTACGGATACACAGAAGTGAATTGTATTTCTGGGACATATAAACAACTGACGTGCTCACACACACACACACGCGCGCCACCCACATACACACTCGGGGCCAGGAGGCTGGGTCTCGACCCTAAACCAAACTAGGTGAGTTAACAAAGCTGATCCTTGGAATTTGACTGCCGCCCCCACAGACTCTTACTTTTCCCTCCTCGCGTTTCCTCTTTCTCTCATAGCCTTCCTCTCCTTTTCTCCCTCTCTCTTCTTTCTCCCCTCTCTCTACCCTTTCTCTCCCCCCTCAAATTTCTCACCCTCCCCCTTGGCTTATCCCTCACCCCCATTACTCTCTACTCTCTCTCCCTCTTTTATACCTTCTCTCTCCTACTCTCTCCCTCTTTCTACCCTCTCTCTCTTCCCCACACCCTCTCATCATCTAGCCTTCTGTCTGTGGTAATATAAGTAAAAAAAAAAAAACAAAAAAAAAAAAAAAAAAAAAAAATAAAAAAATGGGTGGCCTTAGAGGACGGAAACCCAGAGATATGGTGGACGAACCAGGGAGGAAAGATGGGAGCTAGATGCTCCAAAAAAAGGGAGAAGAGTGGGGAAGGAAAGATAGTAGAGCTTGTTAAGAAAATGGGGAGCGGATTGCTGACGAGTGCAGGAAGTGGGAATGTACAGGTCTTAGCGCAGAAGCTAGGATACATGTGCTAGAAGAGAAACTGCAAAGCCAGAAAACAGATTAGAGAGACAAATGACAATTCAGGTGTGACCATCAGGAAATTCAAAGTCAGGCGCAGACAAGGGGATGGTAAGCACAACGGAGACATGCGAACTTGAAGGCCCTATCAGACCACGTGGGGACAGGGAAAAGACGACGAGCTCACTCAGATCAAATGACAGGTCCGAAGACAATGAAGGTATGCTATATGCAGAGATTCGAACAGCCAACCTGCAGTAGCATGGGACAGCTGGTCAGGAAAGACAGTCCACTGAGTATAGAAGTTTCAGATATGACAGGGACTGAAGGCCAAGAACATGTCAATGGAAGGAAATAAATGCTTCAGAGGACGCAGATGGCGACTCAGTGGAGGAGGAAAGGGCGAGGTCAGTTTTTTTGTAGGGCTCCAAGAAAGCCAGGGGGGCCAATTTGAAAGAAATAAAACAGAGGAGAAAAAATGATTGAAGGCATCATGAAAAAATAGGGTAGGGGAATATGACCAGGTGACAAATTTTCAGAGAATTGGGTGGTTTGCGAGTGGAAGGATACGGCCTGTCAGGTGTAACTTTCAAGGGAAGAATCAGTTCGAACCTAGGATTCTGCAAGAGAAAGCCAAGACTGAGGGACAAAGAGGGGTACCAGAGAGTATACATCGACCGCGACAGAAAACAACACAAGAAAGAAAGGACGACACTGAAAGAGAGGGTACAGAGACGCAAGGAGGAAACGAGAAGCAATGAAAATGAGCAGGACCCAGACAACAGGAGAAGGGTAAACACCACCCTCAGAATCTCCCACCAAAAGACTTCCTCCCGCGACATTCCCAACGCAAGCTGAGCAAACTATACTAAAACCCATCACTGTTCCCTCTGCCAACCAATCCCCATATCCACAAACCTCACCCCAACAAGCTGTCCCTTATGGGCATTCTTGACCCCACCCCCATGTCAACAACAAACCCCACCTACAACCACAGGCCCCATATAGGCCCCCACAAGGCTCTCGCTCCCCCCAACCCATATTCTGGCATGACCACAATGATTAGAAAGAAGCTAAAGGTTTGGTACACAAACGCGGATGGAATATGAATAAACATGAGGAGTGAATGAAAGATCAGTGAAATCCCCAGACAGCATAGGCAGTCACAGAAACAAACTCGCTTGACTGAAACAAAAACAGTGTACACAATCTTCCCAACAGGTTATCAGATCTGAGGAAAGATAGAAGGAAGTAGAGGGGGAGGAGGGTTGCATGCACATAAAACCACGTTGGGATTTGAGGAAATGGAGGCATGGACATGATTGGAGAAAGAGACTTACATTGTGAGGTACAATTCAGTCCTGGAGAACATAAAGTAGTCATTGAGTGAGTATAACCACCACAGAACTGCAGGAGGCAAGAGAAGAGTACGAAGAAAAAACAGGTTGATTGTGGTCACATGGCTGAGGTGGCAAGGAAGGCTCACTCGAGCCAGAGCAAAGTTACTGGTATGGGCGATTTTCAACCACGGGAGATCGACTGGGAAAACTGGAGACACATGGGGGGTCCCGACGAAACATGGAGAGCCAAGATGATGGATGTGGTACTTGAAAAACCCTATGCATCAAACATGCAGGGACACAACAGAGAAGAGAGGGGGAGGATGAGCCAGCAGACTGGATCTTGGGTTCACCCTGAGCAGTTCAGACATTGAGGCATCCATTATGAGAGGCCACTTGGAGCTAGCGATCATGTGGTTTGAGTTTGACTTATAGTAGAGTTACAAGTGGAGAAGTAAAGGAATGAAGGGGACAGGCCAAACTATAAATAAGGGGGGCTACACAGGTATGAGAAACGTCCTGCAGGAGGTTCAGTGGGTCAGAGAAATGGTACGGAAAATCAGTAACGATGTTGATGGAATATGTGAGCAACAAAGTGAAGGGGCAGAGGAAAGTTTATTCCAAGGGAACGGAAATAATAGGTAGACCAAAAAGAGTCCTTGGTTTACCCGAAGGTGCAGGGAGGAAAAACTAAGTGCAAACAGAGAATGGAAAAAGGTACAGGGAGGTAGGACCCAGGAAAACAAGTGAGTTAGAGAAAGAGCCGATGAGTATGCACTGATATAGGAGGGAGGCCCTGCGACAGTTGAAAACGACATAGCATCGAAAGTCAAATCTGACCCGAAACTGCTGTATAGCCACATTAGGAGGAAGACAACAGTCAAGGACCAGGTGTAAGACTGAG